AAATATGGGTAAACAGCCGGAGTGCTACGCCTTCTTTGATATTCAAGAAGGTCTCGAGGAGCCACGTATATATTTGTATTCAAAGATGCTCACTAGAAATGCCAGTGCATTAGTTTCACAGATTAAACTATTTAACATTGCAGTTCATTCAAACTCGTGAATAAATTTGTCAGCAAAAGGAAGCACTCCAACGTGTTGAAAAAGACGCTATTGCAATTTACTTGGTTGTACACAAATTTGCAATGAGAATGAAATGTGTTACACATGACTCACAGTGAACAAATTCTAATTGGTAAAGTCAGATTTTTATGAAAGAACAAAGGAATAACGATAGGGCAAATAGAAAGCAGAAGGAAAGTTGAGAAAAAAGAAAGAAATTCTGGGAAACTGAATGTCTGACTTGCAACTTAAATGCAAAATTTTGAGGAATAATAGCTGAACTTATCTTACCCTCACATTCCTGGCATTCGCTGGAGACACCTTGAAACCCAAATTTGCAATTTAATGCCTTGCAATAATTTAAAGTCAAAGCTAGTTGTGCTTGTCTTTTTAAGCATACCTTCCAGCGTCCATTCGATGGAGACCGCCAGTAGTTCCTTTCCTGTGTCAAGTGCAATGGAGCTGAATTCGATGTTGCGCAAACGACGGAAGTGGCCACGAACTATCTTACAAGCTTCGAAGTGATTAGTTTCCCAGACTAAAATAAAACAAAGGTTTAGTAATTGTTTTTGAATATTTAAGGGTGAGCAGCTCATCAGTTTCAGTAACTCTAGCAATGGGTGCGCATTCGCTGTGAAGGCAAAAACCTAGTTCCATGCATTGGCTGCTTATTCCAAGTTAAATTAACGCAAAATTCTATCTAGTAGTTAAAAGTTTAAGCAGTTCGTGCCACACACTACTGTTGCCTAGCGTTAGGGCACATAGAGACTAGTGAGGATGCATGCAGTTTACCAGTTGGACTTGCTTCATTAAGTGATATTTCCCCATATTTCGGAACCACACGAATGGTTCTCTGAATTAGATGGGTGCGATTTGGGATTTTTGCCTTCGAACCCAAGTTATCATTCGGCTACAGGAAAGCAGCAGCAGGAGCAGCAGCAGCAGCAGCGCCCAAAGATGCAGTACTCTGCGCGTCATTAATTGGCAATGTCGTGGAAGACTTCTGATTCCACCCTTGAGAGACTTACTGGCTGACTGATATGTGAGAAAGAATGGCCCTTGTTGTTGCGAAGACATGTTGCGAAGAAACATTTCTCTGACATTCCCACCTCAGGGTTACACCACCAACACAGCATTGCCACTGACTTTAGGAAAAAACAGTGTGCACACAAATATGTAAAACTTGCAACAATTATCAGCATTGGATATTGCGAGGTTACCGTTCCTCCGCGAACACAAGATGCCACTATCATAAATTATTTGCGCCTGAAGTCAAAATAAATCAAAGGCCAATGTAGGGAAAAAGGTAAACCGAGAGAAAGGAAAATTAACATAGCAAACGATTTGCTACAAAACCTAAGAGGCTTGTAAAATGTACTTCAAACAGGGGAGTACCCTGAGGTGATTGCCTTTGGAAAGTTCAAACAAAGTGGAATTTACGTACGCTCAAAGGTGAGGCATCTTCTCTCAAGCCGAACTCCACGTATACGGTTGTTTTATTTTTTCGAAATCG